GCTCCTTCTTCCACGCAAAGCAGTTTGCCTTGATGTGACCATGCTTGTTGCAGAAGTGGCAGGTACGAGTCTACGTGCTCTTCGTTTTCGAGCTTGGTTTGAACCGTCCCTTTCCTCTGAAGGATTTTCCCTTGGACGTTTTCTTGTTGTCTTGATTTTGTGCACTATAGACCTTCGTCTTCTCGTAACGAACATTGCGCTCACTAGCGTCCTCCACGAAGTGGGTCACCTCAAACTTGACAGCTAAGTCCATGGTGTCACTCAGCGTCTCAGTGTTCTCGAGCTTCACATAGCTCCGCGTGCGAGGCTTGAGACCGTTTGCATAGAACAACACTTGGTCAAGCACGCCCATGCCTTCAACTCAAAAGATGAGGGCCGAGTACTCGCCGTTGTAGGTCTCGGTATCCGCTGTCTGCTTCTGACGCTGGAGCTTCTCTCTTAGCACTGACTGGTAGTTCGACGCTTCGAAGGGTTGGAGCACATGCTCACGGAAAATCCCCCACGTGTGCTCCTCCACTCGCGTCGTTGAAGCCCAGTGCAGGAACCACCCCGAAGCCGGTTTCTCCATCGCCGACCCGGCGATTCCTGTTAGACGCGGGTTCGCGTTGTCGATTGCGATCCCGTTGATACGACAGGCGTTCTCGATCTGGAACAGCCATTCGCGCACATCTTCCCCCTCTTGCCCGTGAGCTTGGGCAGGTTGCTGGGCACTCTCGTGCGTTCCGCCATCGCTTGATTCAGCTGGTCGATCTCGGCTTGTAGCTGCGCGTTCGTCGGCATGGGTTCCTGGGACCAACAAGTGCTACCAGTATTTCAAAAAGATAGGAACTTGGGGGAGGGCGCGCCAAAGTAAAAGTGCCGCCCCCGAAGTTCGGACGGATGGAAGCTTCTAGAAGCTTCCACAAGCCGCCCTACATCTGCTTGTTTATTAATTACTATACTATACATTCCATAGTACTACTAACATTGCAATAAGCAATATCATGCAATAGAGATATTGGCTTGTGCTGCATCAGATAGCGGCAGATTTTGTCTAAACAGTGAAGGGTAATCACTCCACAGTCATAGCTATTGCTCGGTAACGGCGCTGGCCTGTAAGAATACAACGGGACATCAGTGCGGGACTTCTGGGTTACTTTTTCGAGAGACCACTGCATTGCTTCAAGGAGTTCTTTTGCCTTGTGACCGCCATCAGTGCAACCGAGAGAATCAATGTGGTAGAAAATAGCGTTCGTCGTCATCGAGTGCTCACAGATGAGGAGGCTAATGTGGTTATTTTTCACGACCGGTAGGAGAAGGTAAGGGTACACATTCCAGTTGAAGTTGCTCGTCATATCAAGGGCGATATTGCTCCCTTTTTGTGCGACCACCGCGACTTCGATACCGTGAAATATTGGACATCCAAACGTGAACACGTCTCCCACCGCAGCACCCATGAAGCGGTAGATTAAAAAAAAACCATAACTCCAGCTGTGAGTTGCTTAAACTGTAATAGAGAATGCAGGTCTGTAGCCATCACGAACTTTCTAGATGTTTCACCATTTTCATAGTGATGTACCTCGTAGGTAAATACGATTGAGCTCGTCGTACAGACTTTGCGCTTGCCAGATCGTAAGATCATCTTAGAGTGAACTGTCTCAGTGTCACTGCCACTACACCACGCTTCCGAACTTCACTTGCTGCGCTCACGTCATTGGTGCTATCATCCCTTTCACTTGCTGCACTCACGTCATTGCGATAATGAGCAACATTGCACAATGCAACACAATATTCTGCGCTCGGTTACATTCCATTGTGATCCGTGTTTATGCCTGACACTAGAGTAAGAAAGCAATTTGCAAAAATTACAGTTTTCAAGGTATACTATTGCCATTATATAAAACTCTTTGTCAACGCGTTATCATCTTAAGTTGAAAGCGATGAAAACGGTATAGGATAACACTGTTCATTTAGTTCAAGAAATTAACTGATCACTGAGGGCAACACAACCAAGCAATTGGTTTTGGACGCACGGAACGCCTCAATTTCTAGACAGCTAGAGAGAAGTCTGAAAGCGGAACAACGGGAGAAGCTATTGAGGGGAGATGTGATCAGAAGATCAAGACTACCTTATCAGATCAGCTTCTCGCTGGGCTAGAAGCTGGAGATCCCCCTACAGTTGGGACATTTCATGAGAGTCAATTGAATATAACTGTGAAACTGGCAGGTCTGCGTTGTTCAAATTAGTGCTAGAAGAGATGGGCCGTCTCTTGATGTGGAACTAGAGTAGCGACAGCAAGCTTGTTCGAAGCAGAACGATCTAGCACAATAGCTACAGTTATTTAGCCAGATCACTTCATTTTTGTAATTAAAACTTGGTCTTACTGAGTATAACTGCTTCGATGCCGTAACATTTCTTATGTTTCCTATCTCAGTATTCGCGAAGCCCTACATTTCTCCCGGTCCACGCTCTCCACCCTCTAAAACATATTTTGTTTTCCCCTCAAACCAGCTACTACAAAACCTGCCCTTTGGTACATCTTAAAACAGGGGTTTGAATTTATGCTTCTTTATTAAATTTGGACGGTCCTCCAACCGTTTTTTTTTTTTTTTTTTTTTTTGTAAGACTGTCAGATACCAGCTTTGCATAGGCAACAAAGCTCGCATGTTAGTTCGCTAAAACGGAAAAGCCTCCTCAAGAATGGTCGAGAAAACGTCGTCCTTCAAAGGCATCACCATATCCACGTATGCCCACTTTATATTGAAGTCGAACTCGCTCAGGGTCGCGCGCGCTTGGTCCGTTAGCTGTTCCCACGTGATGAGATCCTGGATCTCACCGGATTCATCCGTTAACTGAACGGCCTGATTTTCGGAGTTGAGGTAAGACTCCACCTTGACTGTGGCCTGCTCAAAGATAAAGTCTTCCTTCGGTGGAACTTGCATCTCATAACCCACCTCGGTAGGAATGGTCACGCCCTGAATGGTTGAGTGGTTTGGCTTCGGACTATCAGTCCACACAACTATATATGACCAGAAGTGACGTTGGCCTGGTGGTCCGGTTTCCGTGAAAACAGGCCCCTTCGGGTAGTACCAAGCGTACACGATGGCCCATTTCCCCCTGTACCAGTCGGATCGCGAATAGACCTGGGACCCCAAGTCAGAGCCTTTGCGGTCACCGTTGGCCCAACCAGACCGGTTTAGACCTCCACTTACGGAGCCATCCGCCTGTACAGCAGCATACGGGTGACAGCCGTACGAGATATGGAGCTGCGGTTTGTATTTGACAGCAGACTTCTCTGAATCCGTGGTTGGTTCTGGTTGAGAAAACGGTTGCACTTGGTCATGGTTAATTGTTCTGATGGCACCGTGAACTGCCAAAATGGACAGAAAAAATCCAAGAGAGAAGACGCCAAGCATCATGTTCGAGCTGGAAAACGGGGTATGCCGAAAAATTAGAAATGGGATAAATTCTAAGGTAACTCAATGTTCTCGCTCTTGATTAGTACTATAACTAATACACAAGCCTGAGAACTAATCGAGCAAGAAAATGCCCCC